AGACCTTAAAAAGTGAAGAATAAGTTGATAAGTTTTATTTTCTATAAAAGTCACTTTAGAAACTAAATAAACATCCTGGTATGTATGTTGTCAAACAAAGAGATCCAAACATAGCACTTAAAAGGGCTCATAAACATGAAATGAACAATACCAAACACACTGTTAATACTGCATATAACAACCATCAAACTTAACATCCTTTAACTGAACACCGGATGCCCAAGTAGCACAATTTACCCCTAATTTATGGGGGGAAGAAAAAACCCTTAGCTTGTGCTCTTTATCGGCATTCGAAAGCATTACATATTAAGCACGTTTAGCATTTTGTATATGGTAATTCCATTTTCAAACAACTCCAAAGACAAACTTTCTCCTATTTCCTAAAAGTGACAAAGAAAATACAAACTTAACTGGAAAATAACAAACATGGAAGGAAAATTAATAAGTACCTGTCCGGATGCACAATCCCAGACTCTCACTGTTTCATCTTTACTCCCTGTGTAAAGCTTATCCGAGCCAGACGGCAAAGAAATCCCACTAACAAGCTGTTTTAAAACGAAAATAAAAATAAAAATAAACGCAGCAGAAAAGAATCAAACTCATCAAATCACTTAAAAAGCACCAAAAACACAGAATTAATGAGAATTGAAGAACAAAATTATCACCTTCTTGTGGCCTTCGAGCTGGGTCAACAATGAGAAACTGTCCCCTAAACTCCAGGAATGTAAAAACCGACACTCGTCGCCATAGTCACACTTCCCTTGCACCCAATAGTTACATACTTTCTCCGCTTTCCTCACCGCCCTGTTCCCGCCAACTCTACCCCAGGTATTATTGGCATTAAACCCCGGGCTTCTCCTATGACCCCGACCTGAAAACCCGGAATCATCAGCGAACCGCTTGGGAGCCGACCCGTTTACGACGGCTGCTGCCGGGTTCGGTGGCGGCAATTCCCTATGCAGATATGGACAAGGATGTCTACTGCACTTGCCCGCCCTCCAATGGAAGCACACTTTTCCCTTGGTGCCCGCTGCTGGCGCCGGTTGTCCACCGAGCCGGTGGAACACGCGCTTACCCCCTCCTTGTCCATCTAAATCCATGATTCAATTCTCAATTATATTACTATCAACGGAAATAATGATGAGATGAGCCTAAAATCTAAAGTTGGAGAAGCTTTGAATCGGGGATCGAATCGATAAATAATAGTATAATAGATCCTAATCATGAAGCGAAAAGAAAATATCACAGAAACCCTAGCTTCCTTCCTCCCTCGCTTACTTCGCACTCAAGAAGAAAAAGAAACAAGAATCAATCTTGAATGTATCTCTGTTACAAAATTTATAGGATTTGCCGACTGTTAAATTGGTGATTGATGAATAATTGGGGTCTATAGTCGGGGTTTGGTATTTTCTCCGTCTTGAGAAAACGAGAGTGGAGAAGAAAAAGAAAGGAGCAGAGAGATCGCGTCAGCTTGCCGAAGTAGTGAAATTACTGGACTGCCCCAGAGTCTTTTAAATTATTCCTGTTAGTTTTCCGATTTGATTTGAGTCTGCTGATCTGGGTTGTACTTCTATTACTCAAATTGTTTAATTAAGCACGTGCCTTGAGTACAACTGTGTAAGCGTATCCAAGCGGGTAAATTTTATATTCAAGGGATTTGATTTAACTGATAAGTTCTGATTAAAAAAAATATTTTATGAGAAATAGATTTATTTAGTTGGGGGTAGATATATGTTTTTTTTTCATTTAATTGGGAAAAGTTGTTATTAAATTATTAATTCATAGAATTATGTTTTTATTTGTTGAAGTTTAGGGCAAAGTTTTAGGTTTATGCATTGAGGCAATTTTATTTAAAATTGAACTTAAAAACTAAAGAATCCAATAATTTCAGGAATTGATTTTGAGGCGTCCATGACCATTTAATTAGAATATTTTTTTCTTTGATAATACTGTAAACCAGTTATAAAAAATGATGAAATTGATTTAAGCTTTAGATACTATTTATATCACCGACAGTAATATGCAACCAAAGAAGTATTTAGCTTTGGGGTAAATATAAGATTTACATTCTTACATCTTCTGCAAAGACTTCATTAATACATTAGTAAACATAGAATCAGGGCTGCAACAGATTTCATCTCTGTCTAATGATAATCGAAAAATACAATAAGTCTAGTTTGTAATCTTGAAAAGTTTTAAATACGATATTTCAAAATATATTGATGAGTCAAAAATTTATATTTAGACAAGATTTATCGTGTAAGAATTTTATGTTTTAAAAGAAAAAAACATATACTCTCTTTTTTAATGTTATTATTGTTTTCATTGTTGAAAAATTGAGAGTAAGATGCAAGGCATCGGACAGGTGGACCGTTCAAATCGAAACTTTAAAATGGAGGGTCAAGATATTTTTGCTTTCGAATTGGTTAGATTGTTGTAGACAGCTGGTGGTCTCGGTAGGTTCCAGAGACCACCTTTCCACTTTTCCCCTTTTACTCTCCTGCATGTATAAATGTTCCCAATGATCTTTATATAAATAACAAGACAAAAAAAATTGAAAGCATTAAAAATTATTAATCCACACCCGGTTGGGTTTTTTACATGATATCAGAGTAGTATATGTAATAAGTACTGATTTTTCTTATTTCTACACTATACTACACTATCACTCTACTACTCAATGTCAAACCCTAATACAAATGTGTTGGCACTCTTAAACTCATATCAGCCTAAGATGCAACTCGTCACAACCACCTTTGATGGCTCCAACTAATTATATTGGAGTCGAGCCATGGTGATTGCACTGAGAGCCAAGGACAAGCTCGCTCTTGTTGATGGCAGATGCAAGAAGCCCGAATCTGATGCAGCATAATACAAACAATGGCACAAAATAGATAGCATGATGGTGTCCTAAATCCTAAGCTCGATGAACAAAGAGCTTGCTAGCGCCTTTTTATTCACTACATCAGCAAAAAACCTATGGAATGAAATAAAAAAAAAAGATATGGTGAAAGTAATGGAACTTTACTATATCAACTAAAGTGTGAAATAAGTTCCATCACGTAATCTAACCTTTCTGTTACAACCTATTTTACAAACTTAAAAGGTTATGGGATGAGTTAACTCACTTAAGGCCCTCACATGCCTGCACTTGTCATGTTGCAACACAACACAATGAAATCGACAATACCGACAACCGGATACAATTTCTAATGGGTCTTAATGACTTATATGATCGTGTCAGAAACTAAATTTTAATCATGTAACCTTTGCCTGTTGTGAACAGAGCTTATTCCATGGTAATTATTGTTGAAAAACAAAGGAAAGTACACAATATCAACTCACCTGAAGGGGAGACTGTTGCATTTTATGCCAACCTGAAAGACAATCCAAAATTTTTAAACAAAAAAAAAAAGAAGACAGCAAGTGGATTGAGGCCATGCAAGCCGAGCTGTCCGCATTGGAAGACAATAACACTTAGGAACTAATAGAACTACCAAAAGGGAAGAAAGTAATTAACTCAAAATGGGTGTATATAATAAATTACAATACTAATGGATCAGTTGACAAATAAAACAAGGCTCGTTGCTAAGGATTACAATCAAGAATTCGGCATAGACTATCATGACAGCTTCTCATCGATGGCCAAAATGGTCATGGTTTGACTATTTTTGGTCGTGGTAGCCACAAGAGACTGGCCAGTATATCAGTTAGACATTAATAATGCATGCCTACATGGATTTGTAGAATAGGAGCTATACCTAAAATCCCCACAGAACTACTCTAAGGCCAGTGAAGGGCAAGTCTATCGTTTAACCAAAAGCTTGTACAGACTGAAACAAACAGGTCGTTAATGGAACAAATAGCTTATTTCAAAGCTCTAATCCATCAGCTTCACCATATCAGAAGCTGACCACTGTCTATTCACAACAGGAACAAATGAAAACTATATTGCAATTGTAGTATACGTAGATGACTTACTTGTTACTGACCCTAATGATAAATAAATTTGTAAATTCAAAAGTGCCTTGAATGAAGCCTTCACGATTAAGGACTTCGGGCAAGCAAGATACTTTCTTGGAGTTAAGATAGCCAGGTTGAAAGAAGGGATCTACATCAGCCAAAAGAAATATGTCAAAGATATCTTACAAGATATAAGAATGGAAAACGCAAAAGGAAGCCACTTTCCTTTGCCTTCCAGACTAAAACTAAATGTAAAAAAAGGAGAAATCTTATCAGATTCGGAAAGATACAGATGTCTAATTGGCCGTTTATTATACCTCAACTTTACCAAACTCGACATAACATACTTCACCAACATCTTAGTCAGTTCATGCAACAGCCTAAACAGCCGCATCTCGATGCTACATTACATGTTGTTAGCTGCTTAAAGCAATATCCAGAATAAGGCATCTTCTTCCTGAGAAGAAATGGCCTTAAAGTCCAAGCCTTTTGTGACTCGGACTGGGCATCGAGTCCGATGATCCGCAAATCTCTCACGGGCTTTTGTATCTTCCTCGGGTCAGCACTAATCTCCTGAAAACAAAGAAACAAACCACGGTGAGTAAGTCTTCCGCAGAAATTGAGTACATAAGTATGTCATCCACATTGTGTGAGGTTCAATGGATAACTTACCTCCTTCGAGATTTTCAAATAGTATCTCACTTACCAATAATATTGAACTGTGACAACAAAGCCACTGAGCACATTGCAGCTAACTCGGTCTTCCATGAACGAACGAAGCACCCCGACATTGATTGTTACATAGTTCCCAACTAGATACGAAAAGGCTTCGTCAAAACGGAACACATCACCTCGAGAGAACAACTCACTGATCTGCTCATGAAATCTTTGGGGACCTCAACACATCACTGACTTCTGTTTAAGATGAAGCATCTACAACAAGAAAACACAAAGAGTTAAAGGAGTGGTGTGGAGTGGTGTGAAACTCGAAAAGTTGAAAGTAAACAGACTTCATCTTGAGGAACGTGTGAAAAATTGAGAGTAAGATGCAAGGCATCGGACAGGTGGACGCCTAGATCGAAACCCTAAAATGGAGGGCCAAGATTTTTTTGCTTTTTGAATTGGTTAGATTGTTGTGGACAACTAGTGGTCTCGGTAGGTTCCAGATACCACATTTCCACCTTTCTCTCTTGCATGTATAAATATTCCCAATGGTCTTTACAAAAATAACAAAACAAAAAAAAATTGAAAGCATTAAAAATTTTAATCCACACCCGATTGGGTTTTTTACATTAATACTTTGTTATATCTTAAAATACCAAATATGGTAGTAAAAACAATTGTTTTACTCTTGAATATGCAATTCAGGGAAGTAAAATAAATTGAATTCTTTTCCTTTCCTTACTTTCTCCAGATTTATATGTTAATAAATATGTTTTGATCCAGTTCTATCATGCCATAAAAGTGATCTAAAATTTATTATGAATTATGATTTATGCATGTAGGGATCAAGAAATCCTCAAGCTCTAGCTGGCTCAAACTATTTTGAACAGATGTTATCAAATTTATGAATATAATCAGGAGTAACATAAAGAGTATATTTATCTATTTACTCTTCATTTGGACAAAGATTTCTATTATGGAGCTGATATTTAATTGGCAGATAGTTATTTAATTCCATGGATTTCTATGCCAAAATTAGTGAAGCAAATCCGAACTCATGATAGAAATTCCATAAAAAACTTCTCTCTATTTCAACAACAAAACCTGCTCAAGTCTATGTTTTCATAATTGCTTGCAAGATATATATATATATATATGTATTAATCACATTTTGTGCATATATAGTTGGGTTATCTTAATCAGATAGTGAGATGCCACTTGACTCATATGCTCACCCTTATTCTTTTCTCTATTTCACATTTAAATTTGATTTAGTTTGGATTGGCATGAGAATTTAATCTTTTGTTGCAAAATTACTAATTTAACTTGTTTTATTACTTTATCACGTAAAAAAAAAATGTTTTATGTATTTTTTTTTTGTGAAATATATTTACTTTCAAATATAAAACCTGACACAAATTTTATTTTTGCTGAAAAATTTACTTTTTTTTACTTATTTCGGGATAATGTTTTTTTTACTACTTGGTTATCTATTCTGCAATTTGATCAATAAATTGGTTTTAAATGACATCTTAAGTATTCTCATTGACAATCTTGTCTGGGTTCTATTTTCTAACCATCATTGATCAATGGGAATTTATGTTAGTTCATATTTGAGAATACATCAAAGGATGATTGGTTATTTGATTGAATAAAAGGGGGAACAAGAGTAAGAAGTGGAAAAATTAAGTGCAAAAAGAAGGCTTGCACTTTAAGCAGCTCAAACACTGACATGACATATTACTTGGAAGCTGAATTTAGCTTTTCTACACACATGTGAATGGATGTATGTACGTATGTACACAACCAGTATATCTGAAGGGAGAAATCATCGAGATGTTGTGTTCAAAATCTCTTAGAATCTCCCATAATATTGCCCATTGGCTTTTACACCATTCTCATCTAAGTTTTTCTTCAAGATCCAGCAACTCAATTTCATATTTTCCAAAAGAGAAAAAAAAAAAAAGGTGCAAGTGATGTGCATTTATATTAGAGGAAAATTATCAGACAGATGAAGTGAAAGTATCACCATGAGGCACCTAACAAGGTAGTTGGTGAGACATTTCGAAAGGTAGTTGTTTTGTGTTTGTGTTTGCATGTCTTTTTATAACTCCATGGCAGTAGCAGATTCTTTTGTGATTAGCAAACTTCATGCCATGGAATCCTCTAATGCTTCTTGCCCATCTCGGGAAAATGCATTCGAGAAAAAGGATCATC